ACTCCATCTTTCCGTCGGAGTTTCGGTCTTCTAGGCCTCCTTGTTCCATGTATCTGCCTGATAAGATCTTTTTTGGGATCTCCAGGTCCGACATTCTCCGTCCTGCACGTATCGACCTTGCGACGTCAAGGTCCTCGTACAAACTATAAATTTGCTGATTTGTGCTTCTCCAGATACCCTCAAGACAGATTTCTCCAAACATGCATCGCAAAATTTTCCTTTCAAATATTAACAGACCTTGCTCATCCTTCTCGCTTAATGTACAAGTCTCTGATCCATAACAGAGGACTGCCCTAATGATGCCTTTCAATTGAAGCCGCAATCTATAGAAGCAGCGATTCGCTAACAGTACTCTGTTCCTAATTTCGCCGATAATATCATTGTTGGAGTTCACAATGCATCCGAGGTATTCAAAATGGTCGACCATCTCAAAAGAAAACTCTCCAAATTTAAGCACTTTTCTTGGTCTTGCAAGCTGTTCTGTAACCATACACTTGGATGCATTTATGATTAGTCCAATTTTCTTTGCATCATCTTCCAATGCAAGGAACGCTTCTAATGTCATGAGAGACCTTCGGAGTATGTCAAGGTAGCTGGTGTATCTTAAAATTTGACTAGTTCTATTCAGGATTGTCAGAAGTCTGCATCAGAATCTCTCACAGCTCTCTCCAGCCAGATGTTAAATAAAAGACATGCTAATACGTCTCCCTACAACACTTCAACCTCTGATCTAAATTCTTAGGAATAATCATTTTGTATCCTCACAACACACCTCTCACCATTCATTGTAGCGCAGCACAGTAGTCCATGTTTCCTCGGTATACCAAGTTCCACCATCACCACGTACAACTCTTCTCTCAAAATGCCACCAGATTAAAGATGTCAAGTAGTGAATTGATACTCCCTACCTTTTTTTATACTCCGTAGGCAGTAAGGATATGTTATCATTCATTTTCATTGCAGAAATTATCCATATTTTTTAAGATACTAATTGCTAAAAACAAATGAAAATAAAATTTATATGAGAAAATGATTGACTGTACGCTAAACCAAAGAGATGAAATTGCAAAAAAAAAAACTAATTATTTATTCAATTTTGACCCTCAACTTAAGTATTCATAAGGCCTAAAAATATTCTTTTTAGCCATCAAAGAGACTTACAATGTTGGTTGAAACGTCGGCTTCAATTAAATTATTATGAATTATTTGTTGTTTTTTCTTACTGATTCCTGGACCATCTATCTTACTCTTAAAAATAAAGTTTCTTATCAAGACTTGACCACTGATATCCAGGGATATTAAAAAAAGTTTTAGTTAATCATTTGTTTTTTTCATCACTCATTTATATTATATTAACCTTGATTACTTTGTGAATTTCTCATTTAATTTATATTATTTCTGTTCATTCATTAATAATAAAACATATATAAATTACTACAAATATTTAACCACCTGGTTAATAATAAATAATCATAATAATAATAAAAAGGCTTAGCGAACCCGAAGGTTCGACGCCGACACCACCAATCGCTTATTGCACACCTCCCTCCACCGTTCGCCGTCCAAACCCAGTCCCTTCAGATCGGCTTTAATGCAATCTTCCCACCTTCGCTTCGGTCTGCCCCTCGGACGCTTACCATTCGGCACAGCATATATTAACCTTTTAGGAATTCAATCGTTACTAAGTCCAACAAATTTACAAGCCCATTTGATTCGCCGCGATGAAATTACCTCAATTATATCACCCGGATGCAGTTCCCGCAATTCGGCGTTGTGTAACCGTCTGAACTCTCCGGTTAACTCATCCTTCTTCGGTCCGAATATTCTACGCAATACTTTATTTTCAAAAACCTTAAGACGCTGCTCATCCCTTAATGTAAGCGGCCAAGTTTCGCATCCATAAAGAACTGTAGGCAAGATAATTGTTTTATAGATTCTAATCTTTAAGTTTCGGAATAAGAGGCGCGAACTAAGTAGTTTTGTCACAGAAAAATAACAAGCATTTCCCACCTTCAGTCTAACCTTAATTTCTTCTTCAATTTCGTTTTTTCTAGTTATCGTAGAACCTAGATATCTAAATTTCTCTACCTGTTCAAACATATTACCATCAATATCGATATCGCCATTTTTGCAGCTAACCATATATTTTGTTTTATCCACGTTTATTTCGAGTCCTAGTTCTTTACTGGCTTTCATTAACGTTGTCGTATTTAGTTTTATAGTTTCAACGTCTTCGCTTAACAGTACCAGATCATCAGCATAGCCCAGCACGGATGTTGTCCCTCTCAGATCCAACCCTTTCTCGGTACGCATTACCTCCCTAATGGCATGTTCTAATGCCAAATTGAACAGGACAGGCGAAAGGGAATCCCCTTGTTTTAAACCCGACCGAACCTCAAATTTTTCGGACAGATTATTAACGATTCTAACTTTATTGAGTGTCTCTGTCAAGGACATCCTGACTAGATTTACTAGTTTTTTTGGAATCTCCTGCTCGATTAGAATATTATACAGTTTCTGGCGGTCAATAGAATCGTAAGCCTTTTTAAAATCTATATACAGCTGGTGAACAATACCGTTGTACTCCAATTTTTTCTCTAATATTTGCCGTAAAGAAAATATTTGATCAATAGTCGAACGATTCCGTCTAAAACCGCATTGGTAGTCTCCGATAATTTCGTCGGCGTATTCCGTGATTCGATTAGTTAAGATTAAAGTGAATATTTTATAACATAGCGGAAGGAGTGAAATTCCTCGATAGTTATTACAATCCGTCCTCGGACTCTTTTTGTGAATAGGAATAAGAATAGATTCTTTCCATTCCTCAAGTAATTTCTCATTCACCCAGATATTTTTAACCAACCGATTTATTTTAGAAACTCCAGCTTCCCCGCATGCCTTAATTAGTTCAGTAGGAATATTATCAGTTCCTGCTGCTTTATAAGATTTTAATTTTCCGATAGCTAATTCAACTTCCTCTTTACTCGGTCCTTCTATCAACGGTTCAGCACTCTGGTACTCAGAAGGAGGAAACGGATCATAATTTCCCGTATTTAAAATATTGTCAAAGTGGTCCTTAAATGTATTCAGTCAGTATGTCAACCGGATCGGTCAGAATATTGTTATTATCATCCCTAATTCCAGACGTTACGGGCCCTACACATTTACGTGATCTGTTTATACCTTTGTACATGTCTCTTACGTTATTTTCGATTCTATTAGTTTCTATTTCAATTATTTTATTTTTAAGATAGTCCCTTTTTTTATTTTTGAGCAACTTTGTCGTTTCGTTCTTTGAGGTTCGGAAGTATTCCAGATTGTCTTTGCTAGGATTATTCAGAGCTTTTAATTTCGCGGCTTTTTTTTTTTCGCACATGTTTAAGCAATCTTCATCAAACCACGGTTTGTTATTCTTATTTTCCTTTTTTGCTAGACACGAGTTACCGACCGCTTTAATATTATCCCTGATCTCTACTCATAACTTGTCAATATCCTCGTGGTCCTCTTCAGGAAGCTCTAAAGCTTTAAACCTATTCTTAACATCTAGCTCGAATTGAGTTCTAATTGATGGATTTTTTAATTTTTCAAAATTGAAATTCTCAAAATCGAAACGGTTTTCTTTTCTCTTTTTTATATTAAGTTTTTGTCGAAGTTTCACGATTACTAATTCATGATCCGACCCACATTCTGCTCCGCGATAAGACCGTACATTAGTTATACTGCTTTGCCAGCTAGGTTGTATCAAGACATGATCGATTTGATTTCGTGTTTGCGAATCCGGTGATGTCCAGGTATATTTATGAATATCCTTATGTTTAAACGTCGTACTTTTAATTATCAGGTTTTTCGAGATGGCAAAGTTTATCAGACGGATCCCATTATCATTACTATATTCGTGCAAACTTTCTTTACCAATCATCGGAATATAAACTTCTTCCCATCCTACCTTGCGTTCGCGTCACCTACAATTATTTTCATGTAGTTTCGCGGTAGTTTATCATAAATCCATTCGAGTTTATCGTAAAATTCACTTTTGACTTCATCGTCACTGTCTTCGGTCGGACAATGTATGTTTATTAATGCGATTTTAAACCAACGTCCCTGAAATATAGCTACCGAAATTCTATCACTAAAGAATTGTACGTCCCTCAAAGCGGATAGTAATCTACTCCTAATTAGAAACCCGGTAGCCAAACAATGATTCCCGCTTCCTCCGTACCAAATAGTGTACTTTCCTTCCCTCATGGAGCCCTCCCCTGGCCAGTGAACCTCTTGCAGAGCCACGACATCTAAATTATACCCATTTACCTCATTCGCGACCGATTTTAGCCCCCCTGCTGTGTTTAAACTCCTTACGTTCCACATACCAATATTTAAATCCCTATATTTTAACTTGCACCATGAATCCCCTAAAGCAGTCCCCACCCAGAGACCAGGGGGGACTAGTTTACCTCCGGATAATGAGCGTTTTACCTTAGGGAGATCCATGACTATTTGTGGTGTTTAGTGAACTAAAGATATGTGAGTAGGGCATTCAATCCTAGGTCACACCTTCCAGCAAGTCTGGTGGGCCCCTACCTCCAGCAAGTCTGGAGGGCCCCTCTCATTGTTGGTCAGCGAGTCCATCGGACTTAGCCGGGAGGAACTTCCAAGGAATTTCCATTGACCATCCCCACATCCGCCACCCGTGGGACGCTCCCCATACGCAGTAATGAGCCCGCGCGAGGAACCACCTGGTTATGTAAAAAAATAAATAAATAAGAGGAGATTATATTATTAAAAACTATTCTTCACTGAGCCCCTGCTAACCACTGTTGCAGTGTTAGGGTTCCTTATTGAACCTGGACCATAATTCTCTCTATTTCCCATATTAAAATCTAATTTATTAAAATTCAATGGCATCTCCAGAGGTATATAGAAAGAGTTCTCTAATTAAGTGAGCATAGAGTAAGGGATAGGTTATTATACAACAAATAAATAAAGTAAGTAAAACACAAAAATTTGAATTTAAGATGTTAGAAAATGATTTATATTATTCTAGAACACCAATAACTTGTATTAACAAATTTACAAAAATAATGTTTCACAATTATTTTACATTTAATAAATAAATATATACACTGTACTTTACTATCATCTAATTTGTTTTCTTCACATTACTCTGATATATAATCATGTGATTCATCATCTTCGCTAAGATCTGGTTCTATCTGTAAAAGAAAATAAATAAAACAATATTAATTCAGAATAACTGTACTTAGTATATTAATTATATCAAATAATATTTTCAATACCAAATACACATTATATTGCAGGACAGCATTTCTCTCTTTCATGACTATTGCAGGTGATTATTAAAAATTTATAATTGTAATAAGATAATTTGAGTCGGTCAGCAGTTTTAACCAATGAGATCATGAAAATCATCTAGTCCTTCTGATTTGAAATTTCATTATGTTTTGCTAAGTAGTTAGCATATTAGCCCATAAGGCAGAGTTATTATAATGCTTAGTACTCAGTTTTGAGAGAAGAATTATAATTTTGATGAATTTATTCTTCAAAATTTTCTAAAGTACAATTTTTGCAACTAACATTTAAAATTCATTAATTTCTAAAGCCGGAAAAAGAGAGTTTTTGTCACTCCATATTCAACACTGCCAGATATCACAGTCCCTGCAGAGGTGTTTACTTTTTTGGAGTGTTTTCTCTGGATGTACTCCGGGTAATCGTGAGACGTATGTGTGGCCTCCTGCCAGAGAATCAGGCTTCCATCATTTTTTTATGTTCCCATTCGTCACTCATCCAGCTAACACGGCCGAGCCATCTGAGCTATAGGGTGGTTTTAATATGAGGAGCTCTTACTTAATCATTTTATTTTTTGTGTGGCCTCTCCTAATTTTTTTTGTAACCATTAGTAAGTATTTTATTTCAGCCCAAGTTACTCAGTCAATATGCTTATCAAACAAAATCTAGCTCTCGCTAGAGTAGCTAACAGCAGGGTGGTATCCTGATGAGTAGCTGAGTATCTATAGTAGATGAGTAGCTCGATTCTTTGCCTGACATCCCCCCAATGGCAAACTTGAAGCTGTAAAAAACTTTCTTGATCACTGTGTCATATGCTGTCCTAAAATCTCTGAAGAGCATCCACATTGAGTTATTACACTCTTTCATTTTTTTCATGGTCTGTCTAAGAGTAAAGAAAAATTTGATCGATTGTAGATCAATTTGCCCTGAAACCACTCTGGTAATCTCCGAGCTGTCTCTACACGTATGGTAGGATATGATTATACAGAGCAATAAAGAAGATCTTGTAGACAGAGTTAAGTAATCTGAAACCTCTGTAATTTCTATAGTCACATGCATCTTCTTTCTTCTGATAAATTGTGACAAGAAGGGACTCTTTCCATTCTTCTGGTAGTTTTTCTATTTCTCAAATATTTTCTACGAATTTACATATTTCGTCTCAAAGCCGACTCTCCCCTTGTTTGTGAAATTCTCCAGGAATCCTGTCTGATTCTGGTGACTTATTATTTCTTAATTTTTCCAAAATACTTTCGATATCGGCAGAATCAGGTGGCATGACTTAATCAATATCTTCTTCTCTTGTTGACTGCATACTTCTGTGGTTTTCTATTTCTCCATCCAGAGGATTGAATAGCTCCTGGAAGCAATCTTTCCAGTAACTCGTTCCCCACAACAAGCAGCTTTCCATTCTTATCTCTCACTGCACCTGACGACTCATTAATAGAACTTGGTGGCCTTTACGTCCTAAAAACACTTCCTTGTGTTATTATTAAGCCTTGCTATTTCAATGTTTTCAACTTTTTCCTGAAAGGCTTTTCTTTTTTTCTGTCTCAGCACTTTCTTAGCATGGGGCTTCTAGGTACTCTCTGCAATTCTGAGGAGTGTCTCTGATCAGCTATTTTGCTCTCCTGACAATTCTAATTTTTGTCTTTTGTTCACATTCTTAATCACACCAGAAAGTGGGAGTAACTCTCCTATCTTTCATGCAACATTTATCAGCAGCATCCTCTATTACTTCCTTGAGCATGTTCCATTCTTCTTGCCATCTTCATTTATTGGTATATTCTCAACCCCTCTCTCGATGCAGTATAGCAAAATACTTTTATTATAGTTTTACGTTTTGAAATCGGGATTCGTCACTTTTACATAAAATTTTGCTTGATACTTCATTCATCAAATCTAAATTCATCCAAAAGCTCTCACCATTGGGAGCTAGAAAAAGGTTCTATAATACTGCACTATGTATTGCACTAGTGTAGATTAACATACTTTCAATAAAACATACAATTCATACACTTTTTAAGCATAATTCAACAAATTATGTGAACAAAATTAAAAAATAATGTGCACCTTAATTTTTACGTCTGGAGAATTTAAATTACTCTCATCTTCTTGTTTGATGTAAAGTGGGTCATCAAAATCCATCATAGAATCTAGAGGTTCTTCCTGATTCATATCATCTGAATCAGGTTCCTATAATTAAATAATGAAATTAATATTTATTTTAATGAGCAATAACTATCAAGTTTTATAAAAATCATTTTAAACCTCTTTTATTAATTGACTGCATCCTGCCAAGAAATCCTTTGTGTCCTCTTGATACATATCATCAGTTAAACCTGGTTCGACCTGTAAAATGAAATTTATCAAGAGCTTGAATGGGTGTGCTATACATTAGCCTTCTTATATCTTGTATTGGAAGTATAGAAAAATTATACTTTGACTTCATTTTTATAAAAAGACGGCTATCACATGTCCTCTTCTTTTATTCAAGGATATTATAAGGTCTTCTTGGTACTGTTTTTATGTGGATATATAAGGCAAAGATAAGGGATACTTGAAAATCAATAGGATGTTAACTCAACGAGATAAAAATTAAAGATCTTCATGATATAAATAATTCAAATGGTTAGGTTCAATAATATTTTCATCGCAAATGACTCATAAATAAATTAAAATGTGCACCTTAATTGTGAAGGCTGGATTTTTAATATTTTCATACATCTCTTCTTCATCACAGTAAGTGTTATTAAGATCCTTTGCAGGACTTTGACCTTTTGATGTATTCTGTAAAAGAAAAAAAAAAAAAAAATAGATTTGACTGAATTAGATTTCTCATATTTCTTATAAACATATTCATGAAATTCACAAAATATATTTTTTCCTGTAAGAATAATTTTTGGATCATTGACTTTGTGTCTATATATAAATATTTTTTTGGTATGGTTTCTAAATTTTTTTCTGTACTAGCATAGTATGGACTGTAGTTACTATTGCCTATATTTTAGTTCCATCAAAATTGTACTTACAAGGTTTATTTACAATCAGCGGATCACCGGTTTCAACCAATTTTTATTACAGTGATACTACAATGAAAAATATTAGACACGTGTCCCCACATTCTTTCCTATGGGCCCTAGAAGACGAGAACAAAAATTTACATAATTTCAAACAATATTTATGTTATTTATTTTTTCCTTTGCTTTGCCGGATTTTTAGGTTATTACATACCAATCAATTTCTTTTATATGCAGAATAAGAAAAAAAATATTGGGTGTGGTATTAAATGAGTTATAATGTATTTTAAAAAAAATGAAATTAAAAAAAAAATCAAAAGGGGTTTTTACATCCTCCATGTACCTTTGCTCTTTGAAAATCCGTAATATTATATTTTTAATCTTTGATAAATTAAGTCCACACAAAGGCATTTTATTGAGTATTTGATAAACAGCACTGGAAACTAAATATTTTCTTTATAACCTATATTTTATTTTATACTCAATGAAAATTGAAAATACATAATTTATAAAAAGGAAATATTAATCATAGTGTAATAAAGTATTTATAATCGCTATTTATTTGTCAATGAAGCAACAAAAACATAAAAAAATCTAATCTTTATTAATAGTAATATAACTTTTCAAAAGTAAACCAAAATTGTAGGTTGATCATATATTATGGTAAAACCTCGTATAAACAGCATAGTCTGAGAGCCCATGCAAAAAATTTGACATTATCCAAAGAAAATTTTGAAAGCATTTTTTTTGAAAATTTATATTTAAAAAATGAGAACTTGCCAGTGGGATCATGCTACCTGAAAAAATAGCGGCTGATTTAAAGAATATTAGGCTAGTAACTTGAAAATCGAAACAGGAAATTTATTGCGAAAATTCTGAGTTTTTTTTTTTGTTTTTTTTCAACTTGTATGTATAAGTTTAAATATGTAAAAAACAAATTTGCTAACGCGGGTCACCAAGGAAAAGTTTTAACAGCCAAAAAAAACATTTTTTTCCGATCTTTTTTGTTTTCACCTATAACTCATAAACGGTGAACGAGTACCTAAATTTAATAATTTGGTTAAGGAGTATGTTCGATAACCAGTCAACGAACGCTGATTTTTACCAAATTTGCCAAAAACTGAGACAAATTAAACTATTGCAAACTCCGCGTCCACTGAGTACTAACAGTTTTAATTTAGGTCAATTATATCTTTCGAATCGGGATTCGTTATTTCTTCATGAAATTCCGTTTCTTTTGGCACTTCGTTTATCAAAATACTTCGCTGCTGAAAGGTTTAAAAGAATCCTCTATTGCTTATAAGAGACTCAACAAGAATAACTCAGTAGAATAGACACCCATACTGTTGAAATAATTAAAATCTCAGATACCTTCACTTTCAATATCCAGCCACCATTAAAACTGCTGGCACTCAGCACTAGCGGATCCAAGGTTTAGTTTTTGGGGAGGGCTTTTCGAATGTTTTTTAATTATAAAACGATAATTACTTACGAAGAAAAAGAAAGGCATTAACTACCTATATGAAATAGAGTTTAATTTGTTCCTCTACAACTTTTATTCAACGATTTTTTTCTCTTAGGATATATATTTCCAAGCTGCAGCATCATTTATAGTAATTTGTCTGTTTTTGACCAATTTGGTAAAAGTCAGCGTTAGTTAACCAGGGTTTATCGCCCATACCACTAAGCCAAATTATGAAATTTAAGTTCTCGTTCGAGGCACAATTTAAGGTTATTTATTTTCTTAAAGAGTACGTTTTTCAGTTCGATGCACCGTTTTGGAATCATGAAGGTGAAAAACAAAAAATTATCGAAAAAAATTGGCTTTTTTGGCATTCAAAATTTTCCCTTGGTGGTGTGGTCTGCGTAAGCAATTTTGTTTTTTACATGTTTAAACTTATATATACAAGTTAGAAAAACAAAATTTTTGATTAATTCTTAATTCATCATGCTTTTCGTAACAAATTTCATAAATGACGTTTCAATCCTCAAGTCCCTGGCCAAATATTCATTAAATCGCCGCCATTTTTTAAGGTAGCACAGGCATGTACTTTTTTTTAAGTGAAAAGTTATTTAGGCGCGTTTTGCACTTTTTTTTTGTGGAGAGTGCATCTCAGATGTGTAACGCTCAGCGGAAATCGCCTAATTGAAATGTTTTTCATATGGATTAAAATATCTGGAAAACTAAATCTCGAGCCTGCATACTGTAAGTGAGGAAAATGTTCATCATTTCATCCTTTTTGTAATGAGCTGTTATTCAAAATTGTATCTTAACGGGCCTCCGTATTAGAGACGGAAGAAGAGAAAAAAATAGTGTCGAAAACCAAATGATGACGAATTTTATTGAGATATGGTTTAAAATATCACAGGAACTAAAAATCGACCGGCATACTGTATGCGAGGGAATTGTTCCGCATTTCATCCTCTCTGAAATGAGCTATTATTTAAAATTGTATCTTAACGCGATGCCGTGTTAGGGAGGCGAAAAGGAAAAAATAGTGTCGAAAACCAAATGATAACGAGTTTTACGGAAGATATGGATTAAAATTTCAGGAACTAAAACTTGGACTTGCATACTGTAAGTGAAGAAAATGTATAGCATTTCATTCTCTTTTATAATGAGCTATCATTTATAATTTATTTTTCATGTTAATAATCTTGCTTTGTTGATGTTTTCACTTCTATGGTGTGGTCTAAAGCACACAATCCAGTTTAATATACATATCATTTATTTAATATAAATGATATGTATATTAAAAAGAAATGCTTTCAAAATTTCCTTCAGACAATGTCAATTTTTTTGCAGGGGCTCTCGGACTAGTAAAAGCGATCTTAATTAGTCCTACCTCATGAGAAGTAGCCCTACTCCATTGGTCTCTTTATATATATATAATATATATAGAGACGGAAATATTGTATATAATATATATATATATATATATACTCAGAATCCCTTTTAGAGTGATCGTGTTTTTGGCCCATTCATCAGAGTAGAGTAACAATTGTACAGTGGTACTTCGTGTATAAATGAATTTGTTTGGAAATGAAAACTTTTGGTATGTTAGAATCTTCCGAACCTAAATTGTCAAAATTAATCATAAATAGGCAAAATGATAAAACTTTCAAAATTAAATGAATAACTCTTAATATTTTATGGTATCATAAAATGTATTAAACGGACCGTATCTGGTGAAATAGATTTATCAATAAAAATAAATAAATAATAAATGATGGTCTTTTTCATTGTAATAATACCTATAAAAATATAAAATAAATGTTTCAGTTTTTCCTCAGAAACAGAAATAGTAAACGAGACAAATATATTTTCATTATTTGATAAGAACATTCAAGAATTAGGGCATACACAAAGGCTAGTAACAGCAATTTCTGGAATTTTTTGTAGTACCTTCTTTTTTTTCAACAGAACAGGATTCAATCGAGTTTCTCCGCGTCTTTTTGTTCTTTCAGCTAATATTTCTTGAAGCTCTTCGCATAAACATTGTGCAATTTCGTTTACAACTTCAAAAACAGCTTTCTTGTATTTTATATGAATCTCACCCATTCTCATAATTACTCAGAAAATGTTGCACTTGTTCACACAATACTGGATACTGGCAGCCACTTCATTATTTAAAACAATAACCCAATAACGTCTCCCTCTTAACTGTTGTCTGAATAATTCAAAGGCGACGTAAGATGGCTGTCGTTCAGTCAGGAAATAAAGACAGTCGATAGTATTATCGATATATCGCGTGTCCTAGCTTTAAATATAAAATAATCTCATATTTTAAGTACTAAAAGAAATATTTTTAATAACACACCTGCATATTTTTATCCCTTTAATGATATATTAAACATAGATTAAGAAAACCAGTGGCTAAAAGTATGAAGGCATGGTATGGGTATATAAAATTGAAAAAAAAATTAGAAGTCTTCAAAATAAAAATTAATATTTATTTGAAAATATTTTTAAATTAACTTTTGTGGGTCTAGCTTAGGGTCCTGGAGAGAAATCAAGGAATCCAGGGATAATTTTTCAGGGCTCCATAAAACATTAAATTTACCACTAAACCCCTTTCGAAGTCTCTTATAAAGCATGCAAAAAAAAAAAAAAAAAATTAGATAAATATATTGCATTATTATTTAATATATGTAATGTTGCCTAGCTGCAACCCCACCTGCCTCCCAAAATCATGTGCCTGCCTTTATTTATTTGCAAAACAAAAAGAGTCATAGAATAACATCCGATTTGTTTTAGTTTTGGGTCCTTATTCTATTCAACAAGTGTGAATGAAGTGAAAATAATAGATAGTTTTGACAGGAACAAAATGGTTCCTGAATTTAGTCAGGCATTAATCAATTTAAAATATAGATAATGTTTCAAATTATTAATATCATATAAATGGTTATTTCCAAATAAATTTTGCTCTTAAGTGTTAAACAATTATTATTTCCACACATCATTTTAAATGATCATTTTTCATCGAAAATTAGAAATAAACATTTAATATGATAACTATACTTTTTGTTATTTTAAATAGTTGAATATCTACTGGAATACATACAAGGATGCATCAAATTTTTTCATTAAGAGGGATGAAACAATAAATGGAATGAAACAAAACCAACTGTAGTTATTCTTATGGAACAATAGTTGATTTGTTTTAAATAAAAAAATTATATTTGTTTTCAACCTTTAGCGTTTTTACCCCCACTCTTTATATCATGCATAAGTTGAGTTATTTTCTTAAAAAAAAAAAAAATCATTAA